ATCAGTACCATATAGGGTCCTCCGAGCCCCGCCAGGAGTGACCCCTGAGCGCAGAACCAGAAGTACACCCCGAGCACTGCAGAGTGAGCTCCCCCGAGCCAAGGAAGTAAAAGCATGAAGGCTGGGAACACCGTGTCAGATGCACAAGCTGCCGGAGAGGAGAGAAAGCCAATGAGGAAGCCTCTCTGCTGTCTGTCCCGAGGAGGAATCAATGTCAGAGGTCACGCCAGGAGAGGACCAGGCTTGGTGGGGGCCACAACCCCGAGCTCTGCCCTGGGCTGCCCGGAAGTTTTGGGAAAGGCCCACAGATCTCTGTGCTTATGAAAAGGGATTAACTTTTCCCCGCTGTGGTCAGAGCTGCTCATTACCTGCCCGTGACGTGTCCCGGCGTTGCCAGATGAAAGGCCCCGTAGGAGGGTTGCTGGTGCTTATTATACGACCGCGTGCTCTCAAGTGCGGGCTCAGAAGACAAATGATAGGTTCCAAGTGTTGGGTGGGGATGACCCAACTCCCCACGCCCCCAGCCGCGGCCCAGGACCAGCTGGGAAGAAGGGCCCAGGGCACGCTCAGGTGCCGACAGTAAACAAGCTCCCCTGCTATAGAGCCGCCACTGGGAAGTCGGATGCGCCCAGGTGGCCTCAAAGGCCAGAGTGGACCCTCTCTGCCGTTCTGGGTGCTTTGCTGACTCTTAGGACTGGCTCAAGGGACTGACTGGTCCCTGCTGCCTTTCTTCCTCTCGCCACCCGAATGCCAGCCTGAGACTTTGTTGATGTGGGATTATCCTGGATCATCATCTTCTTCTCCTTCTCCTTCTCCTTCTCCTTCCCCTCCTCCTCCTCCTCCTCCTCCTCCTCCTCCTCCTCCTCCTCCTCCTCCTCCTCTTTCCCTTCCTTTTTTACCTTCTCTTCCTCCTCCTCCTCTCCTCCTCCTCCTCCTCCTCTCCTCCTCTACTTTCTCCTTCTCCTGCTCTTGCTCCTCCTCCTGCTCCTGCTCCTGCTCCTCCTCCTCCTCCTCCTCCTCCTCTTCCTCCTCGCCCAGTGGCCTGCAATGAAACTAATCAGACCACAGGCTCACCGACACCCACAGCAGTTAAGTTCTGCGACCCGGATGATAGTCCAATGGGGAGGGTGCTTGCCTTGCACACGGCCAACCAAGCTGGATTCCTGGCACCCGCCAAGGTCCCTCAACCTGGCCAGGAGTGGTCCCTGAGCAGAGAGCCAGAGTAAGCCCTAAGCACTGCTGGATGTGGTCCCCCAAACGAAACAAAGCATAAAGGTCTTAGGGCCCATTTCCAGTCACCAAAGTACATTCCCCCAGACTTCTAGACAGAGACCCCAGTGGACTGCACAGGCCCATCTTTGGGGTGTGGGACAGGGACACGGGGAGAATATGAAAGACCCTCAGCAGTGAGTTGTTCTGGGTGTCCCCACCCAGAATCGATCTTTTGTTTTGGGGCCACACCCAGCGGCGCTCAGGGTTTTTATTCCTGGCTCTGTGCTCAGGGATCACTCCTGGCGGGTCCAGGGAATCCTCTGGGGTTCTGGGGATGAAACCTGTGCAGGCCACATGTATGGAAGGCCCCCTCCCCTCTGTTCTATCTCTGCAGCACCCCAGAATCAGTTTTAGTTGTGTGTGGGGGGCGGAGGTGTGGATGATATTCACAGTGGAGCTCAGAGGCTGGGCTTGGCGGGAGGGGACGCACCTGGCAATTCTCAGCCCAGCTGTGCAGGACTGGTCAGTGTTTACCTGGCCAAATGGTGCCACTTAGCTGTAGTGGTTTGGGGGGGGCACATGTGGCAGTGCTGGAGGCCAGCAGTTCTTAGGGAATTGCAGTGTGGGACTAGAGGGCTTATATTCCAACTCTACAAACTTTCTCCCTGGCCCTTAAGTTTTGTTTGTTGTTTTCCCCTTGGGTCAACATTATAAGCAATGTTGAATGAAACGGATTTGCTCAAGGACCTGCGACCCTGAAAGTTTTAGTAGTGAGTGGCCTCAAAGGAAATTTTTCATCCCTGTCTTACATCCATATACACTGTGCCAGAAAGGGGCACTGTTTGGGGGAGACAGCAGATCTTTTTTTTATTTGGGTCACACCCAGTGATGCACAGGGGTTCCTCCTGGCACTGTACTCCTGAATCACTCCTGATGGTTCTCAAGGGGACCACATGGGATGCTGGGGATTGAACCTGGGTCGGCCACATGCAAGGCAAACGCCCTCCCCGCTGTGCTATCGCTCCAGCCCTGAGAGCAGCTATTTTTCTGGAACTTCTGATCACAGGATGAGTTTGTGCCAGACACTTGGCAAACAATTGGTGAGCACTGCAGCTGGGTCAGGGGGTGAAACGGCCCCTGGATCTAGAAGCTGGACGTTTTCTTTCTTTTTTTGCCTTTTTGCTTCTAGGTCACATCTTACAGTGCCAGAGGTCACTCCAGGCAGTGCCCAGAAGACTGTGTGGTGCCAGGGTTCTAACTGTCAAGCCATCTCCGCAGCCCCAGAAGTTTTGCTGGTCGAGTGTCTTCACTAGGAGGGGAGGGGTGCCAGGGTGCCTGGGCTATGCGGAGGCTGCCCTTGCCAGCGTCCCCTGTGGTCAGGTCTCAGGGACATTCCTGAGCTCAGCAAGATTCTAACGTGGGGAATCTTCTCCAGGGAAAAGGGCAATTCTGCAAGACTGGAAATAAAATTCCCAAGAGAGGCAATTTTTTTTTTTTTAGATAGTAAAGGAAACGCATGCCCGGCTAAGTGTGGGAACAGGATATGCGCGTCAGCAGAGAAAGCCCAAAATATTGCAGAGTGACATTTTTTTTATTAGCTCACCGTCGGGGGGATGTACAAATAAATAAGCACGCAGAGAAGCAAACACATCCCCTTCCAGAGGAAACATCTATCGCTTGGATGCAGTACCTGGTCCCACCCGCTTGTTGGGACCATGAGTTCTTTTTTTTTTTTTTTTTTTTTTTTTTGCTTTTTGGGTCATACCTGGTGATGCTCAGGGGTTACTCCTGGCTCATGCACTCAGGAATTACTCCTGGCGGTGCTCGGGGGACCCTATGGAATGCTGGGAATCAAACCCGGGTCAGCTGCATGCAAGGCAAATGCCCTACCCGCTGTGCTATAGCTCCAGCTCCCATGAGTTAATTCTTGAACCTTCTCTTCGCCTCTGTCTGCTTTGGTGCTGGTCACTGAGGAGAAACTGGCAAGTCTTAGTCTAACTGCATGTCCTAACCCTTGGTGGCTGAGTCCCTTTGAGTCTCTAGACACTGATGTTTGTCTGCTGGGTCTTAAAGACGAGTGTGCAGGGCAGGGAGGCAGCACTGGAACTTCCACTATCACCTGATTATTCTTGGTAGTACATTAAATTTAGCCCTTTCTAAATTCAGCCAATCCACAGACAGAATTTGTTTCCGAGCGCAGGTGAACCCTCATGCTCACAGTCTCACCTGCACCCCAAAACCCTGTGAGGAGAGTTGTTTGCATAAATAACACGTTGTGCTTCACGGGGCCTCTGTTCCTGGTGGAGCTGGTTGTGAAGGTGTGAAACAGGCCCCCACATCCGGGCCTGCGAACATCAATAAATTAATATATAGATTATAAATGAATAAATATAGAACTTACTCAAACATTTAAATGAATAAATTTAATTGTATTTAAATTAATAAATATATAAATTAAATAGTTAAATGCATTAAGGTCAGTGGCAAACTGCTACCGCTATAAATAAATAAATGGGTGGTTCCAAGTAGGCACTTAGCCTTTAAATAGAAAAATACATTATTATCCTTAAAAAAAAATTAGCATCTGAAACAAATGCAAATCAGGTAGAAAATATCCTCGGAGGGGCTGAAACTCCATCCAGTCCCGGTAAAAGTTTTGCATCTTCACAGCGGTCTTGGCTCTTCCTCCGTGGTTTGGTTCTGGGACGAGAGGCTGAAAAGGATCAGGAGGAGAAGCATGGGCTGGGAATGTGGCGGCAGAACTTTCTAGTTTCCTGTCCTGGGATCAGGGGACCTGTGGGATCCCCCGGGGGAGGGGTCCCAGGCTTTCCTAATGTGGGCTGGAGCTGAGGGGGGTGCTGTGCTCACTAGACTTGTGCACTCTCCTTCCCCTTTCCTGAAATCCTGTTTATTTGGGGGGGGGCACACTTGGTGGTGCTCAGGGGATCACTCCAGGCTTGGTGCTCAGGGGGACCTTGCAGTAGTGTCTGGGCTGGAACCCGGAGCCCCACAGAGGCAAACTTCGCTGGGCTCAGCCTGTCGTGTGCACTCGGGGTGGGGCTCCCTCCGAAGGGTTTTCTCACAAGAATCTCTGGGGGTCAGAGAGACAGACAGTCCGAGGAGGGGAGTGGGTGTGAGTCTGCCTTGCCCATGGCCAGCTCAGGACCACATGCAATAACCACCCAGCCCTACAGGAGGGATCCCTTAGCATCCCCCATAAATAAATAAATACATACTATCTCAAATCTGTGCTAAAAGCCTCAGCCGGCCCCAGGGGAGGGTCTAAGCACCTGGAAACAGGTGAGCTGGTGCTGGCTTGGGACTGCCTCCCTCCTTCTACTCCCCTTTCTGTTTCCTTCCTAGGCTGACCTGTGCCCAGCAGGGCCCAGCAGGTCCCTGCGGACACATGGGTGCTGAGTAAGCCACTGTGGATGAGCAAATCTTTTTTTTTGCTTTTTGGGTCACACCCAGAGATGCACAGGGGTTACTCCTGGTTCATGCACTCAGGAATTATTCCTGGCCATACTTGGTGGGCCGTAGGGGATGCTGGGAATCGAACCTGGGCCGGGCTGCGTGCAAGGCAAACAAACGCCCTACCCGCTGTGCTACCACTCCAGGCTGGATGAGCAGCTCTTAACCGCTTCTCCCTCTGCGGGCTGTGTCTCGAGGGTCCTGTCTCTCTGCTCTTCCTCCACCTTGCCCAGCCCCCCTGGAGGAGGACTGAGGTGCACCCTTCTCACCTAGCTAACTGAGGTGCACCTTTCTCACCTAGGAACGGCCCTTCTCACCTAGCTGCAGGGCACAGAGGCCCATTCGCTCCAGGACGAGCCGTAGTAGCGGTCCCGGGCTTGCACCTGAATCTTGCCATCCTTGGGGCACTTGACCTTGGCAGACGTTGTGTCCGTGGAGATCCGGTCTTTCTGCAACAGGAAGAGGGACGTCTTGGGCAATGGGGTCACACCGAGAGGGGGATGGGGGGTGGGGGGATGGGAGGTGGGGGGATGGGGGTGGCCTGGGCCTGTTTTTGCAAAGCAACCACCTTCCCTTGGCCCGGCAAGTGTGCCTTGGGTCTCAGCGCACTTGCTTTTGCCATTCAAAGGGGAAGCGTGTGGAGTTGGCGCCACCTACTGGCAGGTCTGAACACAGCCACCGGGGAAACGGGACTGAACTAGCTTCTCTAATACCCCAACTACAGGGGGACCTGACCCATCCTTTCACCAAACGTGAGTTCAGATGTAAGCACTGCTACTTTTTATTTTATTTTATTTTTTTTGCTTTTTGGGTCACACCCGGAAATGCTCATGGATTACTCCTGGCTCTGCACTCAGGAATTACTTCTGGCGGTGCGCAGGGGACCATATGGGATGCTGGGAATTCAACCCAGGTCGGCTGCGTGCAAGGCAAATGCCTTCCTTACCCACTGTGCTATTGCTCCAGCCCCAAGCACTGCTACTTTTTAAAACATTTTTTTTTTTTGCTTTTTGGGTCACACCTGGCGATGCTCAGGGTTTACTCCTTGCTCTTCATTCAGTGACCACTCCTGGTGGTACTTGGGGGACCATATGGGATGCCGGGGATCAAACCCGGGTTAGCTGTGTGCAAGGTGAACGCCCTACCTGCTGTACTATGGTTCCAGCCCAAGCACTGCTACTGAGAAACTGTGTAGCCACAGAAAACTACCTGAAGCTCCGTGTTTAACAGTAAGAGGAGTAACACTAGGCCAGCTATGTGCTACATTAATGTTACCTGTGGTGAAACAGATCACCATGTTACATAGTATTTAGACAGTTGCCCCTCCAGCACTGATGTGGATTTTCCCCCACTTAATGCTATGCTATGGGGTCTTTCTGCAAGGATTTTTTTTAAAGTGGGGGTGCGGGGAAGCTGGGGTTTCCCATAGATGTCGCTGGAATTTTGGGATTAAGGTGTCAAGAAAGCTGGAGCAAAGGCTGATACTCTGGTTGTTTTTTGTTTGCCTGCTTGGAATCTGGGAGCCCAGTGGTGCTGGGAAGGGGATTACAGAGTGTGAGCTCCAGCACAGATGCAGACACTCTGTTTCGAAAAATAATTTCACAGTATCATCAACGGTGGGAGTTATTCATCTGGGTGGAGACGGGGCCCATATGAGCATCCATTGTTTCTGCCCAGGAGATAGGACCAGTGTAGGATTGTAGGCCCCCACAGTTCACATCCCCCAGACCGGAACCAAAGGTGGGTGCACAAATTAACAGTGTGTGTATGTGGAGGGGGGAGAGGACCTGGGACCCTTAGGTGTCCGGCAGACAGGTGTATCTGGGATGTGTCCCTCCTAGCTGGATGACCTTGGAGCGATCACCCAACCGTCCTGTCTGCACAGTGACACGTTGCTGACAAGACCGTTGGTCTGTGTTTCAGCATCAAGTGCAGCGAGGAGGTGGCCAGGTCCGACCCCTGGTGGTCTGGGAACGATAGCACCGGGCAGGCGCCTACATGATGCCAGGTCATTGCCCTGGGAACCTGACCACAGGACCCACCCCCCACCCCCGGCAACGCCCGCTGCCTCTTGTACCTCTTCGTTTCCAGTCTTGTCCAGGACCTGGACATTAAATGTCAGGGAGAAGTAGGAGTGGGGGGTGCTCCAGCTGTCGGGGTACTCCCAGCTGACGCTCACGGATGGAGAATTTGGCACAGACATCAGCTGAAGATTCTTGGGTGGGTCGGGTTTGACTGTGGGGGAAAAGGAGAGAGACTCCCTTATTTAGTTACTTAGTTACGTTTTGGCCATGCCCAGCACTGTTCAGGGGTTACTCCTTGGGAGTTATTCCTGGCTGGGTCCTGGGGACTCTATGGGGTGCCAGAGCTTGAACCCAGGTCTGCGGTGTGCAAGGCAAACGCCCTACCAGTTGCATTATCGCTCCGGCTCCTGAGAGACCCCCTTATTTCCTAACGGGGGGGGGCTTTGGTGTCAGGTCTCTTCAACTTCCTCGTCCCACCAGTTCCCTGCCTTTCGGAGCACCAGCAGTCTGCCCCCTGCTCTGAGACAGGTTCAGCCTCCTCTCCACCGCCCTAGATGGCCCTCGGTCCACACCTTTTGAGAGCCCAGAACCTTCTCAGAGACTGGCAGAACCCTCCCAGACACAGTGTCACCCTCTATGTTGCACCGTGTCTTTTTGGATCCAAGATAACAATGAATTTATTTTGTCTCCTGACCCCGCACCTGGCTGTCCTCACTGGGGCCCCTTGGAGGGGGAAGGGTTGAGTTTCCCTCTCCGCCCTGAGCAGAGCCCCAGCAGCCGAAGACCTCCGGAACTAGCCACAGTCATGCTTAAGACCACTCTCCACATGCTTGGGTGAGCCTCAGGCATGAAGGAACCGGCAGAGGAACCCAGGCATGCAGGACCCGGGGCTGAGATCTCCAAGTCTACTCGGATCGAGACTGGGCCTCTTCCACCCAGATCCCCCATCTTCCAGTAGGTAGGCATAACGCCCACCAACTGCCCCCGGTGCCGTGTTATCCCATCAACAGCCAAGACCCAGAGACTATAAAAACCAGCTCCTGGACCTCTTATTAATGATCTAGTTCTTACTCTTGGAGAACCTGGTAGGCTACCGAGAGTATCCTGCCCGCACGGTAGAGTCTGGCAAACTCCCCGTGGCATATTCAATATGCCAAAAACCAGTAACAATGATGGGTCTTATTCTCCTGACCCTGAAAGAGCCTTGAATGTGGCACTTTCTAAAATCTCAGGGCTAGAACAAAGGAGACGTCACTGGTGCCTGCTTGAGGAAATCGATGAACAACGGAATGACTCTCTGTGTGTGTGTGTGTGTGTGTGTGTGTGTGTGTGTGTGTGTGTGTGGTACTGGGGACTGACCCCCAAGGCCCCATGCATGCATGGCATAAGCTTTATCACTGAGGGTTTTTTTTTGGGGGGTGGTGGTGGGTGACGGCGGTGGCACACCCAAAAGTGCTTAGGGCTTACTCCCAGTTCTGTGCTCATGGATCACTCCTGATGGTATTGGAGGATACTATGGGATGCCAGGGATCGAACTCAAGTTGGCTACAAGGCAAACTCCCTCCCCACTGTACGATTTCTCCTACCCCCATCACTGAGTTTTAAGCCACATCTCATGCCCCCACTGGCTCTGAACTGAATATAGCTACATCTCACTCAAGGACCCAGAGGGTGCTGGGAACGCATCTAAACCGAATGGCACAGTCCACCCTGTGTCGACCGACCAAGAATCTCTGGTGCCATGTGACTGGACCTCGCTGGAGGGGCTGCACCTGGATTCACCAGGACCCCCGGGCAGCGGAAGCCAAGCATTCCCCGGAGCCTGCATTTCCAGTGGAACCGTTCTGGGGCCGAATCACCAGTGCTTAGATTCCAGCCACGTGGTCTGACCTTTCCGAGATTCCACGTCCTCTTCCTTAGCGTGACATGGGTTGCATCTCCCCACTCCCCCCTTTGGGGGGCACAGGATGCAAGCGCTCCCATTAATGACCCCCATCCCAGAGCACTGTGGGATGGGGTGACAAGTCGCCAGCAGGACCCCGGGAGGGAGCGTACTCACTGATGTCCCGGATGAAGAAGCTGCTGGTGTAGTTTTCATACTTGAGCTTGTGCACGGCGTCCAGCACGATCTCCACGGGGTGGGTCTCCTCGGCGGCCGGGCAGGCGCTGCCCTCCCGGCACTCCACCGTGTACTTGGTGTATTCCCGGTGGTCCACGCGCACCTTCTCTGCAGAGGCTGTGGCCGCTCCACACGTCACTTCTCGGGGGTCCGAGGAGCTGAAATCCAAGACAGAGGAGCTGAAATCCTGCCCGGTCACTTGTGCGTGGCCCTGTTTCTGGTTGTCTTAGCCACGCATCTTTTTTTCTGAAGTAAATATATTTTATTTGGAGGATTTTTTTTAGGTATGGAGGGAGAGTGAGTAACGTACTCAAGAGAGAACATGGGCTTCTCCAAGGGCGGAGAGAGCCCCTACACACATCCTAGCATTAGACATGAAAGCATGAAAGTACACGTCTCAAGAGGGGAGATACGGGTGACACATGTGCCCGGGTGACACATGTGCTCGGGCACCACATGTGCTCAGCCACATGGGCGCAAGCAGCACATGGGCTCAGGCAGCATATGCGCCTTTTTTTTTTTTAAATGAATTAATTTTGTTTTGCTTTTTGGGTCACACCGGGTGGGCGATGCACAGGGGTTCCTCCTGGCTCTGCACTCAGGAATTATTCCTGGCGGTGCTCGAGAGGGACTATATGGGATGCTGGGAATTGAACCCGGGTCAGTCGCATGCAAGACAAACGCCCTACCCACTGTGCTATCGCTCCAGCTCCTTCCCCCTTTTTTATTTTAAAATTGAAATTTGTTTGTTTGTTTGTTTGAGGGCCACATCTGGTGATGCTCAAGGGATTATCCTGGCTGTGCACTCAGGAATCACTCTTGGTGGTGCGCAGGGGACCTTATGGCATGCAGGGGTAGAACACAGGTTGGCTCTGCACAGACGAATAGCACAGCGCCTTAGCTGCTATACTGTTGGACCAGGAGGGCAGGGATGGGGTGGGGGAGGGGGGGGGTAGAGGGGAGGGGGGTCTTCAGAGCTAGTAGGAGGAAGGCTTGGAGACGACTTTGCACTTGAATGCCCCAGGTCAAAGTGCATGAGGAAAGTAGATTCAGAGGCCCCAGTTACATCTCTTTCCTTTATTTTTATTTAATTTTTTTTTTTTTGCTTTTTGGGTCACACCTGGTGATGCTCAGGGGTTACTCCTGGCTTTGCACTCAGAAATCACTCCTGGCAGTACTCGGGGGACCATATGGGATGCTGGGAATCGAACCCGGGTCGGCCGTGTGCAAGGCAAACGCCCTACCCGCTGTGCTATCACTCCAGCCCCTATTTTTATTTAATTTTTAAGAAAGTTTTTGTGCTACACCCGGCTGATGCTCAGGGGTTACTCTTGGCTCTAAGCTCAGGAATCGCTCCTGGCTGGACTCAGGGTACCATATGGGATGCCTGAAATGGAACCTGGGGGAGGGGGAGGGGGCCGCATGCAAGACAAGTGCCATACCTACTGTGCTATTGCTCCAACCCCTTTCCTTCAATTCTGCCACGTCAATTACAAAACCAGTACATGCCAATTATTAAGAGCAAATGAAAAGATAAAGATGGAGATAAAAGAAATGTGTGTTTCTTTGAAATCTAATGCCACTCCAGAATGAGTGCTCACAGGGGCCAGAGTGGAGGCTTGGCATGTAGGAGGCTCAGATCTGATACCTAGATCTGCATTTGTGCCCTGCCAGAAGTTATCCTAAGCATAGAACTGGGAACAGCCCCTGAGCGCTGCCAGGTGTGGTCCCCAAAACAAAGTCATATTTTTCCAAGCATTGTATCACTGTCCTTCCATTGTTCATCCATTTGTTCGAGCGGGCCCAGTAACGTCTCCATCGTGAGACTTGTTGTTACTGTTTTTCGCATATCAAATACACCACGGGAGCTTGCCAGGCTCTGCCATGCGAGTGGGATACTCTTGGTAGCTTGCTGGGCTCTCCAAGAGGGGCGGAGGAATCGAACCCAGGTTGGCGCGTGCAAGGCAAACACCCTACCTGCTGTGCTATCGCTCCAGCCCATTTTTTTCAAAAAGAAAAGAAATACTATTATTATTCTTAGTGCATATTCCTTTTCAGAAGTTTTCAAACTTATTTAGTCTTCCACCTGCTTTTCAGGATGTTACTCAGTATCCTCCTGGAAAGTGATCTTCTTTAAAAGAAAACAAACAGAAAGTATCCAAATTGTACCCAAATCTACTACCTGAATATCCCCCCATATCCTGCCATCTTTCCTGGGGCAGGAGTCAATGGGGGCAGCAGTATCACCTACTTTGGAAAAGAAAACTCCAGATCCTTTTCAATGAATACACAAAGAATATTTTCATTCACCACAGTCATCTGTGTAGATATGTGTATGCACACACACTTTTGTCTGTGTACGAATCATTTTTGTTTTTTATAAAGTCGGATCCAACTGTGTCTACCCATCTGGCTGTGTAGCTGTCTCTTTCCTCTCTGAACATACTCTGGAGAGCAGGGGCCGGAGCAATAGTGCAGCGGGTACTGGGCTTGCCCTGTAAGGAGCTGACCCAGTCTGATCCCCAGCATTCCATATGGTCTCCAGAGCCTGCCAAGAATAATCCCTGAGTGCAGAGCCGGAAGTAAACCCTAAGCACTGCCTGGTGTGGCCCCCCAAACAAAAAGCAAACAGACCCACTCACCTTTGAGCTATCTCTGGGGCACCTCCCTCCTGTAACAGAATAGCCAGTAGCAAACTTCTGAGAACGCCTAGCAGGCGTACTTACCCTCTGCTGCTTTTGACGCTGAAATCCAGGTTAGAGCCAATTGCCGTCAGCCACGAGCAGGTGAAATGTCCAGAATAATTTTTTGCCTCGCATCTCAGGTAAGTCTTCTGTTTGGGTTCTGAATTGGGGGAAAAAACATAACATCTAAACATCAGGGTATATATATATTTCCCTCCCAGAGAGATTTTTGATTGTGACTCGTCACAGGCCACCCAATGTCACAAGAGTAAAGTCCTTTCCAGTTGTCTTTGAAAAAACACCGACTTCCTGCTGGTAGTGGTGCAGTGTGTATTGGGGAGTGCATACTGTGTGCATGCGTGCATGTGCGTGTGTGTTTGATTCTGCCACATACCCTCTACACCTAACACCTCATAAGACCCCCTTGTCTCCAAGATGCTCCCGACCACACACACACACACACACACACACACACACACACACACACACAGAGGTGAGTCTCCAATCGCCAGTGAGTGAAGCCACTCACTTAAAGCGATTTTTGGGAGGAGCACAGACTAGACTTCCCGTGATAATTTCAACATGAGATTCTGATGGTGGAAAAGATCTACAAAAGCATAGGAAAATGCATGTTCTGGGCGGGGAGCTGGTTTTAGCGAGGGACTCAATATTAATTCATTAACTGTCTCCACCCCAGATTCTGTGTGTGTGTGTGTGTGTGTGTGTGTGTGTGTGTGTGTGTGTGTTTTGTGTCTCTGTCTCTCTCTGGTCTTTGGGTCACACCAGCGATGCTCAGGGCTGACTCCTGCACTCAGGAATCATTTCCTGGTGGTGCTTCGGAGATTCAACGGGATGCTGGGGACTGAATGGGTGCGCGGCGTGCAAAGCAAACGTCTTCTCCACTGTGCAATCTCTCTGGCCCTTTGGTGTCTCTGCTGGCTGCAGAGGGCACAGAGGTACCTTTCTGGGCCTTGAGGATGTCGGTGGACCACAGCCCGTTCTCCCACTTGTGCAGCAGCAGGGTCCAGCGGCTTTGCGGCTCGCCGCCCACGTGGCAGGTGTACTGGCCGGCATCACCGAACTCTGTCACGTCGACCCTCAGGGTCGGGTCCCGGCCGACCGGCTCGTCACTCCGGCTCCAGGTCCAGGTGACGTCGGCTTCCGCAGGGGCATCGCAGCTCAGCACCACCGTTTCTCCTGGTGCATCGGGATGCCAGTCCAACTCCACCACGTAAACTGGAGGACAACAGAAAGGCGAAGGAGGCGTGATGGGCGGGCACGGAAGCTTTCTGGGCCACCCAGGCACCCGTCGCCCCCCTTCCCTCCCCCACCACCCCCGCCAGGGCCCGGAGGGACTGATGAGAATCGAGAGGGCTCGAGGCTTTTTGGACCCCCCGGGCTCCCGTCCTTTGGCAGCGTGTCACATGCGCTTCGCTTGGACAGCAGAACGCGAAGCTTTCTGGACCACCCAGGCTCCCGTACCCAGGTGGCTCGGCCCATGAGCTTAGCTTGCACAGTAGAGCTCGAGGCCTTTTGGACCCCTGGGCTCCCGTCCCCCAAGAAGCATGACCCATGAGCATCCCTTGCACTGTAGAACTCTAGGCTTTTTGGGCCCCCTGGGCACCCGTGCCCCCCTCTCGGGCCTGGAGGGAATGATGCAATCGAGAGGGCTCGAGGCTTTTTGGACCACCCTGGGCTTCCGTCCTTTGGCAGCGTGTCACTTGCGCTTCTCTTGGACCGCAGAACACGAAGCTTTGTGGACCACCCGGGCTCCCGTACCCAAGTGGCTCGGCCCATGTGCTTCGTTGGCACAGTAGAACTCGAGGCTTTTTGGACCTCCGGGCTCCCGTCCCCGGGCGCTGGGCCCGTGAGCTCAGCTGAGACCGTGTGCAGCTGCGGGTCGCGCTGTGCAGGCCGTGGAAGGTGGAAGCTCTGTGTTCTTGAGGTGCCAACCCCGGAGCTTTTAATATATAACCTCGAAACAACCCCCCCCCCATGCCAACTGCGCAGGCCTTTGCTGAAAGCCCGGTGGAGAGAAGAAACCCAGGCCCGGAGCAGGTGCATTTGCTTGCAGAGGCTCCAAGTTCGGTTCCTGCCAGTGCTCGGACCCGCCGAGCTGGAGGAAGGGCTGGAGCCCCCGTTTTCCTCCCTACGGGTGACCAGCAGCTCTCCCCCCGCCCCGCACCCTGGCGGCTTCTTTTGCACCTCAGTTCCCTACCGGCTGTCCGAAAGTTGGAGGAGAGAACCCAGGGCCCCCAGAGCGAACGAGCAGAGGCCGCTTACCGTCTTTCTTCAGCTGCCACAGCGCTGTGAGGGGCGCCACCAACCCAGCCAAGGACACCCAGAGGACGAACAGGTGCTGCCAAGACATCTGGAGGAGGGGAGAGAAGAATGAGCCACACGCAGTGACCTCGACAGCAGAGGCACGTCCTCCGCGGCTTTGGTTCGGTTTGGGGGTCCCATCCCGCGGTGCTCGGGGAAACTTAGGGTGCTGGCAATCCAATCTGACGCTTCTGCGTGCAGAACGTGCTCCAGCCCTTTGACCTATCTCCTATCTCCTTGGCTATGTGTGGGTTTTTTTTTGGGGGGGGGTCACACCCGGTGATGTTCAGGGGTGACTCCTAGCTCCGCACTCAGGAATTACTCCTGGCGGTGCTTGGGGGATCCTATGGGATAGCAGGGATTGAACCTGGGTTGGCTACGTGCAAGGTAAATGCCCTACCCGCTGTACTATTGCTCTGGCTCCGTGGAGGATCGTGGTGTGTGTGTGTGTGTGTGTGTGTGTGTGTGTGTGTGTTTGAGTGTGGCATATCTGAAGGTGCTTATAGGGTACTCCAGGAAAGTGCTCCAGGAACCATGGGAGGCTTGGGATCAAAGCTGGGGCTCACACGTGTGCAATGAGAACTCACTGTTCGCCCTTTTAAAAATCTTTCTTTCCCCCCCACAGTCCGGGTAATGCTAACAGAAATCCTCAGCCGTTGGGGGAGGAGCATCCCCAAAGAGCCCTCTTGCCATCTTATTGATCCTCTGATTGTTTCGGCCAGGAGAATACAGACGCAGAGAAGAAGCATGGCTGTTCGGGATGAACAGAGGTTCTTACTGTCACCAGCCCTGGGCCAGTGTCCTTGGGAGGGAGGAAAGGTTTTGACTTGCATTCTGACTCGCAGGATGCTTTTGTTCCCTGTTGCGGCTGACCGTCTCTGCGGTGCTTGGGGGTGGGGGACCAAGCAGGGCTGGGGATGGAACTTGTGTGTGAAGCCCGTGTGCCACTGCTCGGGGCCCTGACCCGGGCAGCCCTTAGAGATGTCACCATTCTCTCCTTTAGACGCCTCTGCTCCGAGCTTCCCTCCCACACAGTGGACCCCAGCAGGTCACCACTGCGAGCGTGTTTCAGTCCTTCCCAGAAGCCTACTGCAGTGCCGACAGGCTGCATTCAGCCCGAGAATCTGCATATCTGCGTGCCTAAAAACTATTTCCAATGGATGGCACCTGACTTGGGAACTGCACCTTGAGAACTGCTGCTTAATTGCTTCTGCAGGTTCTAGAGCCAGGAAAGTCAGGATATTCTTTGGGTTTTTGTTTGTTTGTTTGTTAGTTTTTTGCTTTTTGGGCCTAACCCGGCGATGCACAGGGGTTCCTTTTGGCTCATGCACTCAGGAATTACTCCTGGCGGTGCTCAGGGGACCCTATGGAATGCCAGGAATCAAACCCAGGTCGGCAGGATATTCTTTGGGAGAAGACCATAAACAATTAATTGGTCCTTCTGCCCCTTAGCTGTGAAAGGCATGGGTGGGGGCTTTGTCGGCCCCGTCCTGTGTTGAAACTCAGTCCAGAGGCAGACCCAGGGCTTGCGAAAACCTTCAGTCTGTGCATGAATTCTCCCCACCCGGGGATTAGGTGAAGCTAATTTTCATTTTGTTTGGGGGGGCTCTCTCGATAGTGCTCGGAGTGGTGCGGGGGGAGTGGGGGAAAAGCAGTGTCAGGAATTGATTGGGGCGTTGCCTTTGTAGGCATATGTCCCTGCTGGTTGAGCGGCCTCTCTAGCACAGGGACAGATAATGGGTGAGTTCAGTTTGCTGCCCTCCTGCCGCACTCCATCCAGCTCAGGGAGCACCAGTGATTCAGCTTCCTGCTCTAAATCCGAGGAGGAGGACAGGGGAGATGGCTCAAGCATGTCTTTTGGCATGTGGGAGGCCTGGCTTTGGTCCCCCAAGCACCGAACCAGGAGTAACCCCCAAGCAATAAGCCAGGAGTAGCTTCCTTCACGCCACTGAGCATGGCTCCCAAACTAAAAAATTTAAATGGAAGAATAAATAAATTTATTTATTTATTTAATGGAGTGATAGCACAGCGGGTAGGGCGTTCGCCTTACAAGCGGCCAACATGGCCGACCCGAGTTCGATTCCTCCGCCCCTCTCGGAGAGCCCGGCAAGCTACCGAGAGTATTCGATATGCCAGACACAGTAACAACAAAGTCTCCAATGGAGACGTTACTGGGCCCGCTCGAGCATAAATAAATAAACCAGAGAAACAATAGGACTGAGAAAACTCAGCCAGGGCCGGGAATATAGCACTGTAGCACTGTCCTTCTGTTGTTCATCGATTTGCTTGAGCGGGCCCAGTAACGTCTCCATTGTGAGACTTGTTGTGACTGTGTTTGGCATATCGGATACGTCACGGGGAGCTTGCCAGGCTTTGACATGCGGGCGAGATACTCTCGGTAGCTTGCCAGGAGGAATCGAACCCAGGTCAGCCTGGTCGGTGGCGTGCAAGGCAAACGCCCTACCACTGTGCTATCGCTCTCGCCCGGGAATATAGCAACCAGGGATATAGCTCAGGGGTCAAGCTTGCTTTGCCTGGATTCGTGTCCCAGTCCTGAGAAAAACAGCCAGGTATCTCAGGGTGGGGGTGGGGGTGCTAAGGGGCCACTGTGGGCTCCTTTATCCCTTTGCATTATGAAACACAGGTCTGGGATGGGGGTCTTTCCCCAAATTCTTAGGATTCTCAGGGAGGGGAGTGCTGAGCCCTTAGGACTTGCAATGAATTTTGTCCCAAGTTACAACCATAGCAAAAAAAAAAAAAATGGCACTGCACTGTAGCACAGTCCTCCTGTTGTTTATCGATTTGCTCGAGCGGGCCCAGTAATGTCTCCATTTTGAGACTTGTTGTTACTGTGTCTGGCATATCGAATATGTCACGGGGAGCTTGCCAGGCTCTGCTGTGCGAATGAGATACTCTCAGTAGCTTGCCGGGCTCTCCAAGAGGGGTGGAAGAATCGAACCTGGCTCGGCCAAGCCAGGCCACACGCAAGGCAAATGCCCTACCGCTGTGCTATTGCTCAAACAAACAAACAAAAACCCACCCCTCGGCCAGTGGTGGTTTGATACCAATCAACACACCGGAAGCCAGGGAGCATGCTAGACTTGGAGCCCAGTAGACAGAGCAGGGGCCTGTATCAATCTCTGCGGTGCACTCCCTCCCTGGAAGGGATGTGGTGCCCATCCCAAAGCGTTGCTGGGAGAACACAATGGAATATCATAGATGACGCTGGTACTGAGAGCTCTAAGGAAAAATGCTACTTCTTTCTCTTTTGTCTATCTCAGAGTGGCGGAAAAAATAATTTTCCCCTATGCCTCTCCAGGGAAATGCCCCTGAAGGTATTCTAGTTACACCAGTCCAGTGCCTAAAACCCTGATGTGTGCACCTGGGCACGGAAACATTTTCTGGGCTTCTCCTTCACACCCTGAGCTCTGGGGTTTTCCCGTTGGCCGAGTGCCCAGCCCCACCTCTCAGAGTCGCGGGCGCCCTGGAGAATTCCAGGTGAAGCTCAGCCACGGGTCACGGATGGCTCCAAGAAACCTTTCCTGTGAGGGTATTCCCAGGGCCCACCAGGGATGGAGATGGTCACCTTGGTCACTCTTGGTCACCTTGAGGTCACACAGACACAGACATACACACACACACACACACACACACACACACACACACACACACACACGAAGCGGAGAGTAACCCTGTCTTTCTCCAGCAGATCAGCTAACGCCCATGAGTCTGAACCGCAGCCCACGTTTCCTCAGCAAGGTAAGTCTGAGAGTCCGGAGAACTAAAAATGGCTCTTCGTGTGTCATCGCTTAAGCTGGGTGGCTTTGGAAACTGCACCACGAGGGCCGCAGGCATCCCCGCCCTGTGTAATTTAGGGTTCGCCGAGACTGGTGCCCACACGGGCGCATTCGTTAACCAGACTCTCAGCTAGCTGGCGCTGCTTTGTTGGTTGTTTGGTTTGCTTGTTTGTGGGGGTCGCACACCCGGTGGTCTCCTGGGGGCTTCTCCAGTTCTGTGCTTGAGGCCGCTCCAGGGGACCATACAGACCGGGGACCAAATCTGGCCTGCACTCCAGCCTGCGGTGCTAGCTCTCCGTGGTTTTCCTATCGGTTCACTCAAAAAAGGAAGTTCTTATTTAAAATAAAAAGGTGGGGCCGGAGCGATAGCACAGCGGGGAGGGCGTTTGCCTTGCTCATGGCTGACCTGGGTTCGATCCCTGGCATCCCGTAGGATTCCCTGAACACCGCCAGGAGTGATTCCTCAGTGCAGAGCTGGGAGTAACCCTTGAGCGACACCAAAAGCCAAATCAATAAATAAAAAGATACGATCACCGAAGATCTGGTGAGCACATGTGGAGCCCACCACCCCAACAACCCCCACCCCCCAAACACACACAGACACACACCTGGAGCCAGACCGACTGCCTTGGCATCTCTGCTCTGCTCTGTGCTCATGTGTGACCCAGAGCAAGTCTCTGAAGCTCTGTACGCCACACCCTTTTCATCTGTAGAGCAGGTGTCCCGGGCCTGAGGTGTCTAGGGGCTACATGGCTTTCCTTGTGTGTGGCCCACTCTGGTTGAATCTTCAGCACCCCCCCCCCCACCTCCGTCCTTCGAGCATCACAGGGAGTGACCCCTGAGCACAGAGCCAGGAGTAGCCCCTGAATTCCTCCCTCCCATCCCATACAGTCAAACATACCACCCACCACCCCGCCTCCAAAACCCAAGGCATCCTGCGGTAATGAGGAATCAGTGGGAGTACCTGTCACGAGCCCTGGGTATCCCAGGACACCACGACCCCCTGCTCTTTGCCCCCAGAGAACCTCCTGCACTGCCCTAACTTCAGCTGCCATCATTTTGCTGATTCTCATTTCCCGGCCGAAGGGTGCTATCTGGCCGAAGGAACCTGGTTCCTCTTACTCTGCGGTGCCCCCCGGAGTCTAGCAGGGAGATGCTGGCAGCCGGGGCTCGTGAGCAGAAGATGCGGGCACTGCAGATGCTCGGATCCCAGGAAAAGCCCCGGAAGAAGTGATTTTAAAAAAAGGGACTG